CCCCCCGGGGCCCGGGTTCAGCTTTCACACTGCAAATAGGTTTCCTTTTCGCTGTTTATTTAGCGCCGCGCTCGGTGCTTTGTGTCGGGGGTTTTGCTGTGTAACGTGCGGTGCTGAGGTACAAGCTGGCGCCCCCGCACAAGGAGGAAACTCGCGTTCGGGCACTTCGCTCGGGGTCCAGGGACAGCGCGTGGGCTGTGAGCGCAGTGTCAGTGAGTCAACAACGTGCACCGAATAGGTGTCTCCGGACGGAAGCACACGTCTAGTCGGGTCGTGGACTGAGCAGCTGATACGCATGTGCCAACGCTGCCTGCAGGAGCCCAGCCCTGTGCTGCCCACCCCCCACGGTTCAGGGCTCGCTCGTTCGGTGTTCACAGCCACTGCGTAGAACACAACTGCCATACATAATGTGTCACCTTATTCCCTGTGCACAAAGCACCACGAGACGTCTATTCTCCTTATTTTATTTTATTTATTTACCAGAGGCCCGATGCACGAAAATTCGTGCAAGAGTAGGCCTTCCTTCCCCCGGCTGCCGGCACTGGCTTCCCTCCGGCCCCGGTTTCATCAGGAAGGACGTCCGGAATGACATCCGGAAGACGTCGGTCTAATGAGGATATTGCCCTTTTATTATTATGGAATTTTTAATATTTTTTAATTGATTTCAGAGAAGAAGGGAGAGGGGGAGAGAGAGAGAAACAGCAATGATGAGAGAGAATCATGGATCGGCTGCCTCCTGCAGCCCACCCCCACACTCCTTCTGGGGATCAAGCCTGCAACCCCCGGCATGTGCCTTGACCTGGAATCCAACTGTGACCTCCTGGTTCATAGGTCAACGCTCAACCACTGAGCCACACCGGCTGGGCTGTTTAGCTTTATTTTTTAAATACTATTTTTCCATCACCGTTTCTCCCCTCTATGCCCTCTTTCACCTACCCCCACCCCCGCCCCCCCGGTTAGCTGTTTGCTTTTATCGCTGGTTGATATTGTAACAGCCCTATAGCCATGTACCTCTCTGAAAATTAGTTAATGCACCTGACTCATCGTTTCTGAAAATGGTGCCAATGTTCACCTCAAGGGGTTGTTATAGAGCTTGGTCATAACGCACGTAGCATATCATCTGTTTTCGTTGTTCCATAAGCTGTAATGGTGGAGACATAAAGCTTGCTGATTTCCTGGAAACGGGGACCTCCCACCAGGTAACCGGCTGCAGTAACCGGCTCCCTTCGGCCTCGTTGCCCGGCGCACGTGGTTCGCATCTGAGCTGCTTCACCCTCCGCTAACACTGCACAGGGCAACGCGTGTTCCCACCTCAGGTCCCACTCGGTTATCATTTTGTTCTGTTTCAAAAAGAAGTCGTGCCCCAGCTGCTTTGGCTCAGTGGCTCGAGCGTCAGCCTGCAGACTGAAGGGTCCCGGGTTCGATTCCGGTCAAGGGCACATGCCCGGGGTTGCGGACTCGATCCCCAGTAGGGGGTGTGCAGGAGGCAGCCGATCAATGATTCTCTCTCATAATCTATCTCTCTCTCCCTCTCCCTTCCTCTCTGAAATCAATAAAAATATATTTTTACAAAAAAGAATTCTTAATTCAGGTGATGCGTTTCATAATGGCCTTTATTTGGGGGAGCAGTTTTAGATTCACAACAACATTGAGCCGAGTTCTCACGGACTCCCTGACCCCACACGTAAGCACACCTTCCCCAGGATCAACACTCCCCCCCCACCCCACCCCCACCCCCAGGCTGGGGCATGTGTGACCTCCCATGACCTTCACACCTCACTATCACCCCCAGTCCATGCACTAGGCCTCATGGGACACAGTTAGCAGGGAAAAGCTCTGAGGTTAGGATACAGGTCTCCATACAAAAGCCCACCACCAGAATCAAAACCCCATGTTCCTCACAGCCCGGATCCCCTTCAAATCGCATCTCAGGTAGTAGCGAACTACCTCCCCTCCCCTCCCCAGAAAACACTGTAGGTTCGCTCCCCTGAGGTTCCGGGCGCCCCTTCAGGGTTGAGGCAAGTACATGTCATCGCAATACCTCCAGACCTTCTCTATGTTGAAATTCTGGGTCAGTGAGCACCATCTTTTCCCAAATGCTTCCGAGTCGTCGGTACATCCCCAGTAGATGGTGCGTCTGAACCAGAAGGGAAACACGCATTTTGCGAAGTCTGCAGAGAAGAAAGAAGCCATGGGAATGAGAAACCTTCCTATCCAGTGCCTCCTCTTCATCCTAACACACACACACACCCGCGCACGCGCGCACGCGCACGAGAGCACGCCCACTTTTCCACTCTGGCTCTATTCCACCCAACGCACACGGCAGCAGCATTGGTGGCAGGCGGGGGTCCTGCAGCCGACAGATGTATCTGCATGCGCTTGAAGCACTCGTCTGTCTTTGGCGCCCTGTGGTTCTCATACCATCAGAGACCTGCACACAACTTATTTTCACCATGTAATGGCCTGTGCATTCCATTTGTTTTATTTTGTTTTGTTAATCCTCACCCAAGGATATTTTCCCAATGGTTTTTAGGAAAAGTGGAAGGGAAGGGGAAAGGAGAGAGAGAGAGAGAGAGAGAGAGAGAGAGAGAGAGAAGCCACATCGGTCGGGCAGATGTTGACACGGGGTCCTGGAGCCAATCCCGGGATGACTGTACTGTATGATTCAAACTCTAGGGCATTCTGGAAAAGGAGAAGTCCTGCCCTTCTGAAGAGGGGTCTTGGGAGGTCAGAAAAGGGGTGGGTGGGGAACACTTAGAAGTGCATGGACTAGAGGTGGCCGAGTGGGCAGCGTCGCTTCTGTAAGAGAAAAGTGCACAAAGAAGAGAAAGATCTCCTCTGGAGACTGGCTGGGGAGGAGAAAAAGGAGGGAGACACTAGGATATCACAAAAGAAAACCGAAAAATTGAAGAAAACAAACTTTCCCACCTTAAAAGCTATCCTTGAAATAAGCTGCCCTTCACTACCTGGACGGCAGAGGGCGCCCTCGAGCTGGGAATCTTACAAACTACTCCACGCCTCCCACCGGGCTGTGAAATTCGCAGACACGCGCAGAACCACGAAAAATTGGAGTTCCCTCCCCCCGGGGCCCGGGTTCAGCTTTCACACTGCAAATAGGTTTCCTTTTCGCTGTTTATTTAGCGCCGCGCTCGGTGCTTTGTGTCGGGGGTTTTGCTGTGTAACGTGCGGTGCTGAGGTACAAGCTGGCGCCCCCGCACAAGGAGGAAACTCGCGTTCGGGCACTTCGCTCGGGGTCCAGGGACAGCGCGTGGGCTGTGAGCGCAGTGTCAGTGAGTCAACAACGTGCACCGAATAGGTGTCTCCCGACGGAAGCGCACGTCTAGTCGGGTCGTGGACTGAGCAGCTGATACGCATGTGCCAACGCTGCCTGCAGGAGCCCAGCCCTGTGCTGCCCACCCCCCACGGTTCAGGGCTCGCTCGTTCGGTGTTCACAGCCACTGCGTAGAACACAACTGCCATACATAATGTGTCACCTTATTCCCTGTGCACAAAGCACCACGAGACGTCTATTCTCCTTATTTTATTTTATTTATTTACCAGAGGCCCGATGCACGAAAATTCGTGCAAGAGTAGGCCTTCCTTCCCCCGGCTGCCGGCACTGGCTTCCCTCCGGCCCCGGTTTCATCAGGAAGGACGTCCGGAATGACATCCGGAAGACGTCGGTCTAATGAGGATATTGCCCTTTTATTATTATGGAATTTTTAATATTTTTTAATTGATTTCAGAGAAGAAGGGAGAGGGGGAGAGAGAGAGAAACAGCAATGATGAGAGAGAATCATGGATCGGCTGCCTCCTGCATGCCCACCCCCACACTCCTTCTGGGGATCAAGCCTGCAACCCCCGGCATGTGCCTTGACCTGGAATCCAACTGTGACCTCCTGGTTCATAGGTCAACGCTCAACCACTGAGCCACACCGGCTGGGCTGTTTAGCTTTATTTTTTAAATACTATTTTTCCATCACCGTTTCTCCCCTCTATGCCCTCTTTCACCTACCCCCACCCCCGCCCCCCTGGTTAGCTGTTTGCTTTTATCGCTGGTTGATATTGTAACAGCCCTATAGCCATGTACCTCTCTGAAAATTAGTTAATGCACCTGACTCATCGTTTCTGAAAATGGTGCCAATGTTCACCTCAAGGGGTTGTTATAGAGCTTGGTCATAACGCACGTAGCATATCATCTGTTTTTGTTGTTCCATAAGCTGTAATGGTGGAGACATAAAGCTTGCTGATTTCCTGGAAACGGGGACCTCCCACCAGGTAACCGGCTGCAGTAACCGGCTCCCTTCGGCCTCGTTGCCCGGCGCACGTGGTTCGCATCTGAGCTGCTTCACCCTCCGCTAACACTGCACAGGGCAACGCGTGTTCCCACCTCAGGTCCCACTCGGTTATCATTTTGTTCTGTTTCAAAAAGAAGTCGTGCCCCAGCTGCTTTGGCTCAGTGGCTCGAGCGTCAGCCTGCAGACTGAAGGGTCCCGGGTTCGATTCCGGTCAAGGGCACATGCCCGGGGTTGCGGACTCGATCCCCAGTAGGGGGTGTGCAGGAGGCAGCCGATCAATGATTCTCTCTCATAATCTATCTCTCTCTCCCTCTCCCTTCCTCTCTGAAATCAATAAAAATATATTTTTACAAAAAAGAATTCTTAATTCAGGTGATGCGTTTCATAATGGCCTTTATTTGGGGGAGCAGTTTTAGATTCACAACAACATTGAGCCGAGTTCTCACGGACTCCCTGACCCCACACGTAAGCACACCTTCCCCAGGATCAACACTCCCCCCCCACCCCACCCCCACCCCCAGGCTGGGGCATGTGTGACCTCCCATGACCTTCACACCTCACTATCACCCCCAGTCCATGCACTAGGCCTCATGGGACACAGTTAGCAGGGAAAAGCTCTGAGGTTAGGATACAGGTCTCCATACAAAAGCCCACCACCAGAATCAAAACCCCATGTTCCTCACAGCCCGGATCCCCTTCAAATCTCATCTCAGGCAGCGTCCTACCTCCCCTCCCTTCCCCAGAAAACACTGTAGGTTCGCTCCCCTGAGGTTCCGGGCGCCCCTTCAGGGTTGAGGCAAGTACATGTCATCGCAATACCTCCAGACCTTCTCTATGTTGAAATTCTGGGTCAGTGAGCACCATCTTTTCCCAAATGCTTCCGAGTCGTCGGTACATCCCCAGTAGATGGTGCGTCTGAACCAGAAGGGAAACACGCATTTTGCGAAGTCTGCAGAGAAGAAAGAAGCCATGGGAATGAGAAACCTTCCTATCCAGTGCCTCCTCTTCATCCTAACACACACGCACACCCGCGCATGCGCGCACGCGCACGAGAGCATGCCCACTTTTCCACTCTGGCTCTATTCCACCCAACGCACACGGCAGCAGCATTGGTGGCGGGCGGGGTCCTGCAGCAGACAGATGTATCTGCATGCGCTTGAAGCACTCGTCTGTCTTTGGCGCCCTGTGGTTCTCATACCATCAGAGACCTGCACACAACTTATTTTCACCATGTAATGGCCTGTGCATTCCATTTGTTTTATTTTGTTTTGTTAATCCTCACCCAAGGATATTTTCCCAATGGTTTTTAGGAAAAGTGGAAGGGAAGGGGAAAGGAGAGAGAGAGAGAGAGAGAGAGAGAGAGAGAGAGAGAAACATCGATGTGAGAGCAACACATCAGTTGGTTGCCTTCCGCAGGTGTCCCCAATCAGGGCTGGGCATCGAACCTACAACCCAAGTACATGCCCTTCACTAGAGTCGAACCCGCAACCCTTCAGTCCACAGGTCAGCGCTCCCACCACTGAGCCAAGTGGCTACTAGGACTGTGCGTCCCATGTGTAGAACCGTATGAGGATCTCAGAGAAGCTCAGCGCTGGGCCCAAGATGCCCCCTGAGGTCCTCAGAGGCACTCACCTTTCTCGGAGCAGTACTTCCAGTAGCCTTCAAAGTTCTCCGTCAAGGAGCACCACTTGTGCTTGGCCTTGAACTTGACACAGTCGTAGAACAGGCTGTCCTTATAGCGGAACGGAAAGAAACACTTGCCATCTAGAGAAAACGAACACACTGCCTCCATCTCTGGGCGGCGGGTTGAGGTGCTGCCACTCCCCTCTCCTCCGAAGGGTGGTTCCGCCCGGCCCGGAGCCCTGCCTCGGTTCTGCTGGAGCTTATCCACCCCCAGAAGCGGGGCTGCCGGGCCTCTCTCCCCACGAAGGGTTAGCTTTAGACACGCACCCCTGTCCCACTATTCCCATCGCATGAACGGCCTTGACATTTGGCTTAGCATCCGGCCCCAGTTCCAGAAACCGACCCTAAGCTTAGAAACATACGTGTGGCCATTTATCTATTAAACGATTTCCCTTCTGCTTCTTTTCTTCACCCTCTTCCGTCTTCACACACACCCGTGTGCACACACACGTGCACAAGGACACACGCACATGCGCACAGACACACAGAATGTAGATAGGCTGGCTTGTATCTTTCCACACTTTTTCCATGCCCATACGGATGCCTGAATCTACCCATCTCTCTCTGTATATATAAAAGTCTAAGCAACCGTTATGACCAAATGACCAGAATGACCAGAACGACCGGTCGGCCAGTCGCTATGACTTGCACTGACCACCAGGCGACAGATGCTCAACGCAGGAGCTGCCCCCTGGTGGTCATGGATGTATGAATCTACCCATCTCTCTGTATATATAAAAGCCTAAGCAACCGTTACGACCAAACGACCAGAATGACCAGAACGACCGGTCGGCCAGTCGCGATGACTTGCACTGACCACCAGGGGAACGGACGCTCAACGCAGGAGCTGCCCCCTGGTGGTCAGTGTGCTCCCACAGGGGGAGCACCTCTCAGCCAGAAGCTGGGCTCACAGCTGGTGAGCACAGCTCCGAAACAGGAGCCTCTCACAACTCCATGGCAGTGCCACCAATCGGCAGCGGCAAGCACAGCCGGCCGGGGTGAGCACTATGTTTATGGCTCATTTAAATATCTGATAACACAGGTGCTTCTCCACCAGCACTACTTTTGTTCATGATTTTTAAATCTGTTTACAGGTACTTATATCACATTTTATGAAAGGAGAAAAAGGAATTTGTTGTTGTTAATCCTCACCTGAGGATATTTTTTTATTTTATATATATAGATATAGATATAGATATAGATATAGATATAGATAGATATTTAGAGAGAGTTAAAAGGGGGGAGAGAAGGGGAGAAACAGAGAAACATCTGGAACCAGCGACCCTTCAGTGGGCAGGCCAGCGCTCTAACCACTGACCCACACCAGCCAGGGCCATAGTAAACGTTTTATGGTCAACTTACCTTTTATTTCTGGAAAGTAAGGCATCGTTTCTGAAAAATAAAATTTGAAGCTGATGTTTACTTCGCTGTTATGTCTTCCAACCAAGAACATGGCGTGAGAGTCTGTGTTTTAGAATCGCTTTCTGTTCTTCAGGATGATGTTATCATTGACTTCCCCTAAGTCCTGCACGTTGCTTGCCGATTTCACTCCATGGCGGTTTTCACCATGGATGTAAAGTAGAGTGCTTCCTTTTTCATCAAAGTGTAGTAAGTTCTTACCAGCAAGGAGAAAAAACGATTGACTGTGTATGTTTGTCTTATATCCAGCCACATAGCCAGATTCTTCTGTTGAAACTCGTCATCTTTCCCAGTGTTCCTAGGGACTTTTAAGTTTACAATCATAAAATAATGCTGCTCATAATTTTCTGTAGGCTTACAGGCTATTTCCTTTTTGCAATATCACCTATGTTAGAACACCCCCTTCCCCGATAATGTTAATGAGCACTGGTCAAAGTAGACACCCCTGACCTCTGTACTTCCCTGGTTTTGGTTGGAATGACATTCAGGTTAAGAATGTTCATTTTAGCATGGCTAATAATAGCACAAAAAATAGAAATCAATCCAAAAATGTTCATCACTACGGGAATTTTAAAGTAAAATATGGCTTTATAACGTCGTACTGGCAAAGAGGAGATAGAACATAGGCATGGAAAATTTTGGACTTCATCTGTAGGTGACAAAAGGCATCTCCTATTTCGTTATGTTCTATAAGACTAGTTCTGCAAAATGAAAGTCACATTATAAGGTTGTATATAATGAAATATTTGATCGCGTGAAAATATTAACAGTAAAATTGATTGCTCTCTTTCTTTTCCTTAATGATTTTTAACATAGAATGTACTTTTTTATGTTCAAGGACATAAAGTAGCAGTTTTGCATGAAAAATATTATTTCTGACAGGAAAAAAATATATAATGTTCAACAACTTCACGTTTTATTGGGAAATATAAAAAGAAACTGTAGGTCGAGAAACCAAGATGGCGGCATAGGTAAACACCTGAAATTGCTGCCTCACACAACCACTTCAAAAATACAACTAAAAGACAAAACAGACATCATCCAGAACCACAGGAAGGCTGGCTGAGTGGAAATTCTACAACTAGAAG